GAGACAGAGAAGATTTAAGAAGACTTTCTTTCTCTGTCTCACCATCGTGACAAGCAAAAATCACGCCTGTGTGTAGTACTGCGCAGGCACGATTCTTTTTTTTACGATGGTGTAAGCCAGAGAAAGAAAATCTTAAACCTTCTCCCTCTCTCTCTTTTCACAAGCTTTAGCTTATTCAATGAGACGCTCAGTCTACAGGGTGTCGGATTCGATTTGGACGACTCCAAAGATTATAGTAGATTGGGTCAAGCTGAGAAGAAAAGTTATATACCATTTTACAAAATTCGTAATTATTATCGCGTAATTAAGAAAAACGTCTGAGCCAATAAGTGCACGGAGGAGCTGAAGGCCGGACTCGGCAGACATGCAAAATGGTGTATTATTCTCCTACCACCAGAAAAACTTTTTCGGCGCGGTGTCATATGTCGCGCCGTTCGCCCGCTCACCGCTCCCCGCTCGCCCCCGTCTCTCATCGATCGATACGTGACTCCACCTCTCGCTATCGGATCTTGAGAGATGTCAACAAATACACCATTTTGCATGTCTGCCGAGTCCGGCCTTCCGCCCCCCCGTGCACTTATTGGCTCAGACGTTTTTCTTAATTACGCGATAATAATTACGGATTTTGTAAAATGGTATATAACTTTTCTTCTCAGTTTGACCCAATCTACTGTAATCTTTGGAGTCGTCCAAATCGAATCCGACACCCTGTATATTTACTATGTCTATGGCTGTGAAGTTATTAAATTGGCGTCGACAGTCTTTTAGAAACGGAGATTTTTACAGTTGTGATGTTTTAAGTGAATATTTTTTGGTTTGCATCCTCTACAATTCTGCATTCTATGACAAATTAATTGATTTTCCGAAATGGAACTTCTCAATATTGTGGTAAAAGTGATAAATGAGACCAATACGATTTTATCCCAGAAAATGATCTTATATAATAATTTTATATAACAATCTTATATAATAAAAATGTTATGACATTAATTATTTGCAATTTGTTGATATAAGATTCGCCATTGGAGATAAAATGTTTGATGCATTTCGAAAACGCAGAGCAGATCATTTATTCTTACTTTTAAAAAGTTTTAATAAATCCGCGATTTCGAAATTGCGTAAACTTTTAACCGTGATCAAACTTTGTCAATAAGCTGCAAGATATTCCGTATCATTCGAAAGCATCAGCGTATAAATAACATAAATACACACAAAAACAAAATGCAATAATCTTTTCATTATTTCTTCACTTAAAACACATGCGTAAACTGCGACGTTCTAGGTATTCTACGTGCTAATTGTGTCCGATTATGTTTGGTGATAAGATTTAGTTGTTCGATATACATAGCGTACACTTTGTCGTCGTACAAGAAGAAACGTAACAAATGGGTCACTTTTTATTTGTACAAAGGACTTGAAAAGTCAATCGTCGAAAAGTCAGATGTGTTTAATTTGCCCTAATGTCTGATCATCTCTGCGTTTTGGTTTACGTTGTTACACGGTTTTACACGCGTTGTACGTTTCAGCGTGAAACATTCTGTAGCTATAATATGTCAGCTAGATTAGCTGGATAGAGACTTCAGTGCGATTTTCGCGTGAAATGGTAGTAATCGTCTCATTGCAACCGCATCGTCTCTTTCCTTGGCTGTACCCGTTTAGTCGCTTTTCCCTTTTCCGTTTGATATCTTGTGGCTGCTCACTTTCTCCGCGACGCCGTTCGCTTTAGTCGAGTTCTGAATCGACGGTGCTGCGCCGTCGTTTTCCTTCTTGGAAGTATACGCATTATTGTAAAAGTCCGAGAACAGGAAATAGAAGAACATCGCATTCGGCAGCACCAAAATGACTGACCATTTCGGATAATCGCAGTCGTAGAACAACAATAGGCAATTGTGTAGAAAGGCTAAACAGAATTGGCCCTGTCGAATAAAGATATAAATAATCAGTCGCTTGCGAATTAAATTATTAACACTTGGTTGTCACATTGAGTCAAAATGACCCAGACTATGACTCTGGGGAACGTAAGATATCTTTTAAATATATTAAAAAGTGATACCATTGGCATCATTCAGTGGTAATTTGTATTTTTACTTTTCGTCACTTTTTCAAAAGTTTTTTTAAAGAATTTGTTTAACATTTTGCTACTTCAAAAATTAATTTTCTATATATAATTTTCAAAATCGAAAATAAATTTTATATAATGAAAATATATTTTTCAGTATTTTCAGTTTATTCCATAATTTTTCAAGTAAATATGATTAAACAGTAGCTTATTGAAAATTTGCTTCGATCAAATTTACCCAGTGCGGCAGAACTTGTTCGAAGAAAGATGTGACAACCGAGTGCTAAGTGATCGGTGAAAATTGTGAAAGCAAATTGACAGACTCATCGATTAAATGTTGACTTCGTACCATTTGTAGGGTGGTAATATATCTCTTCCACCAGAGATACCGTTTATGCTGATGGTGAGGTAGCAATGCTGCCAGGAGATAATAAGTGTACATGATGATATGTACAAAGCTATTTATAATTCCTGCAAAGTAAATACATGTCGAATCAACATATATGTATGACTTTGATCCGATTGAAACGACGGATATGTTCAAATAATACTATTAAAAAAAAGCAATGAGTTGCATTACATTGCTATTTATTTTGACGTACCTACAAGGATACCGTGACCACCGGGATAATACTTTGTAGCGCCCCACGATATCATCGGCATCACGGTATGATGGTACATATGAAGAAAGGTAATTTGCTTTTCCTTCTTGCGCAATACGAAGAACACCGTGTCGAGGAGCTCTGTGAGTTTCGCCAGAAAATAAATGTAAACCCCTCTTGCGACCTATAACAAAGATCGCGCAAGCAAATAAAGATGTAATTAGCAGCTACATTTACCACCTCTTTTTTTATCGCGTTTGAAAATTTTTATTACGATACTCGCACTGTCTCGAATAAATTAGAATATTTTACATATAAACCGGGAAGATAATGAGGCGGGTAGCATATTACTGTATGCGCGATTTTCAAGTTACGAGTAAAACACACGTCAAGAGTAAATTGTTAGCTAACTGGCAACTTAGTGAAAATTTAGAGGGATATTTAATATGTAATATTTACTCTTAGAGGATACGGAGCGTACGAAAAATCCACCGATTCGCATGTGAAGCTGTAATTATTAAAAAAAATAGCTTCCATGCCTTCCTTAAACAGCCACGTGCTAAGAAGAACCTGTAAAAAGTTATAAACGACTAGAGTGTTTTTTAATTGGTACGGCTTTCGATGTTGCATGTTTCTCGGGCCCCATGACAGTACGAAATAGAGGTAGCCGATCAAGAGACTAAGACCGGGTACAGGCGACGATATGAGAAACCAATCTCTAGTTCGAGGATCTGAAAAAAAAATTATATATAATAAAACAAAGTGAAGTCATGACGTTGGATATTTTGATTTGTATTTTGTGTTCGGTTTTATCAATACATTTTTTCTATTTCATTATTTCGGTACTTGTCTCCTGTTTTAACCAAATTGAAAAGAATTAACGTAAATCCACACAATATGGATCATGAATGAATTCTAATAACTAAATAAATTTAAAAACTAAATCGTTGTTTTACGCAAAAACAAAGATGGTGTAGAGCTTAGTATTTTAATCAAGCTTTTCAAATCTATTTTTGTTATTATTAAATAATTATAATATACATTTACAATCAAAAGATATACTGTTTATTGTCTCTTAATTTAAAATAATAAACTTCAATATAACATCAATTCTTTTGTAATTCTAAGTTACATATATATCTCTAATTTATAATTTGGCTACACTGATACAGGGGATTAAGTAAAAGTAAACAAAATTACATCATCGACGAAAGTTACAAAGATAAAAGGATAAAGTAAGGGAAATTATTAATACTTTATGAATAAAATAAAAGGTATACATATATAATTGTAAAAGTATTTAAACCAGAATAGTTATATATCGTTCTGTACCATTCTGATAATTGAATAATAAAAATTCGCGTGTAACATAAACTTACCAGATAAGTCGTGGAATAGAAATTGCCAGTATCGCACTACGGAGTTGTTGTAGATGTTAGCCATTCTGTCGATCGTTGGCGGCGCGGTAATGTTCATTGGGAAGTCTGGATGTTTAACTGGAAACATTATTTTACAATTTTAGTATTTTGTGGATATTAAATTCTTTAGCTGACATGAGATAAATTGATTTAAAAATATCTCTAAACAGCGAGGACTTAAGAGTGCTACGGAGTGATTAATGCGTTAACAATCAAGTTTCATGTGTGACTTCACACACAGTTGACGCTTATTAAAAAATTCGAACGTTTCGGCCCACAAATCAAGCCATTTTCATTTCTATTCGGCAGTGAAAGCTTGGCTGGTCGAAAAGCCATATTATAATATGCAATCAAATCATACATATATGACCCTGTAGCACTCGCCCCTATTGTTAAAGAAGTTTTTAATTTTGATAGTCTTTATATTATATTAGATTTTATTATATTCTTTTTGTAAACTCATTTAATTATAATCTTATTTATTCAAAAGTTTGTATATAAAAATGTTAATAACATTAATATAAATTATATATGTCTACACTCGTTGATTTTAGAGATAAATGCAATAAATATGAGTCGACGTATGCTGGCGGCGCGAGAAAAGTTTAACGTCGTACGTACAAATTACGCTAGGTTTTATTCTAAACCGCATATCTGTGGCGCTTTTATTAACAAATGAAACATCGAATCCGTCATAAAAAGGAATTCTTGCTTTTATATCGTCGTTAAACCCGCGTGGCCCTGGGTTAATTGGGTTAACGTGGCATTTCCTTGCGCAAGATGCACGATTTGCCGATTGCTGAAATCTGCATCCTTTCGATAAAACAGCGTATGAACCGGTTCGCACTTGTGTCTAGAATAATTTGATGTGGTCAGAACGGCGGAAAAAAGCATCAAAACAACCCATTCATTTTCGCTGCCTCTAATGACAGATCGCATTGCTAACTTACTCAATGGCAATGTTATACTGTCAGAAAAATATGTGTAATCACGTATGTTTAACATAATAGACATCGGTTTTTTTATGATATTAGGAGCGACAACAAATTTATTTGATTGTGCATCGACCGGCCACTTCGCGTGCGTCGAACAACCTCGTTCTTTCATAAACGCGCTGTTCCTTTCGGATTTTTTAGCGAGACACTGCAAAATATTTTTAAACTAGACAATTCGTCCAGTGATGTCTATAATTAGATTGACGTTGAACTCGCCGGTTTCATCGGTCGTGCGGCGTTTTATATTTACGTATTAGATTTATATTGGCTGGCGGCGCGCTCGTTCTCCGCCCTTGCTTATTCTTCACTATTCCTCCCAAGCGCCAGCTAACGCTAGATACAACCGCTAAATACATTCCATAAAAATATCCGATTAAACGATTCATCTAGAAATGACTGTAATTAGATTGAAGGTGAACTCACCGGTCTCGTCGATTGCGCGTCATTTCGCGAAGACAAAAAGACCAGACGTTTACATACTTATTTGACATTAAAATGTTATACGTAGTAGTCTACTGGAGCTACTAATAAAAATTTCCATGAGTACAGATAGATTGAATATTTTTCAAGTGTATTATTTTCTATCGCGGGAAAAACATGTTGTGCAAAGAATCGGTCTATGGACGGGCCAAGTAGCGTACGCGCTATTGCAACGAGGCGCATTTAATTAATTCCCGAAAATGGTTTTTCTAAACACAACTTTTTATCATACTTGATTGAATTTGTAAAGTAATAACCTTTTGTTTGGCGCGAAAAAAATTTCAAAGTTTTGAAAACTTTCTTTAAATAGTGAGGGTATTAAAAAAAATTTTTAATTAAAAAATGTTTTTGCCAATGTTTTATACTAGTACTCGTAAAACCGTTCAACTTTGATTCGACCAATTTTTTTTCTATCTCTTATAGTGTCGGAGATATCCACATCGAAAGAGAAAAGGCGATTTTTTTCAAAGGGGTGTTTCACCCCCCTAAAAGTATGGGCACGTAGAAAAAAATACGCGTCACTTATTTTTAGCTGGATAATAACATATTCAAAGCTCATCCAAATCGAGGGGGGACACTTGGAAACGTTTCCTTGTAAGTTGCATTATCGTTTTGCTCATACAATCACTACAAATCTATGACAGCTCGTTACCAAAACTGCAAACGACATGTAATTCTGTATCATTAAAAATGATACACTATGATATTTCTACATATCGTCATTACGGTGCAACAGTTTAATAATGTTTCTCACGATTAAATCGGATTTCCGTCAGTGACACACTTTCGTACTCGCGACCCGACGTGCGTTTGGCTCCTTCTGATTATTAGTACTGTTAGTACCATTATCCGTCTCGAATAACAGAGAACCGCGACCACTGCATACACGTACGACTTTCCACGCGGCGGAACCAAGTGGAAGCACTGCCGGCGCGAGCGGCTGATGACTGATTGCACGCTAGACTTTTCACTGGAGAGTGAGAGCGGTGGCCGAAGAAAAAAAAAGAAAGGACTTGCGTGATTACCGTAGCAGTTCGACAACGACTAACTAGCAATATCTTGATTAAGTACGATTAAGTAGAATTCCACTATAGAAACACGATCTCCCCTATTAAAGGAGACTATCCTTCAGATATCTGTACTGCAACGAGTTTTCAAACGGTGGAGACATCGAATCAAATGTTCTTTCCTTCAGTTTCCCGCCACGACTTTTTTTACTATCTAATCGCGACTTACGAAAATTGCAGAGTCGTGAAATTTTGTCTTATTTCTGTTTCGTAAAACCGAACATTATGTCAATTGTATAACGACTCCCGGGAGCTCGGTCGTTATTACATAACGTTTTTCACTTTAGAACATAGATAATTAGTTTCAATGCTATTCATCTCACTTAAATGTCTCAATAATTTAGTTCTTACAAGTATAAACTCCTTTATAATCGTCACATTTATCGGATTTAATTTCATACTCTCCTTTTCTCTTTTATATAATCTGTTAGTTTATGGTATTGATTACAAATTGTGAATAATTGTCATAAACACTCGCTCTTAAGATCGCTCTGAGCAGACGATATTTAACATGAAAAATGATACAAATAATTATCTATGTAAAACTAAAACTATAAAAAATGTCGTTTCGGTTTTACTAAACTTGTGTTACAGTTCTTCTACAAATATTGCATTATAAATGTATGCGTAACGTACTAACTGAATTTTAGAAACGTACAATTCCACTCTTATCATACTAGAACAACACCTGCGCGCGTAATTAAAGCCAACGGCACACGATACTATTTTTCCTACTGGATTACTTACGAGATCCAATCATTCCAACTAAATATTGATATTGAATATATAATAAATATGAATTTTTTATACAAAAACGTGAAATTCCCCATAAAAACTTTGCGTACGTATATTTTTATAGCTAGTTTTGTTGATTACCACAAAAAATGGCTATTCCTGCTGGAATAGCTAATTCTGTACAATTGCATTTTTTTAAATACTGAAGTCTGTCAGCGAAGTCTCGAAGGTAATGATTGACTAGCAATTAGGTGCGCTTCGTGGTACATGATAATAACTAGGAAAGTACGCGATTGTTTCCCATTATATAGATTTGCTCGTGTTGAAATATATAAATTTACTTTCAAGGTTGAACAGTGCACGAAGAGGCGACAATTCGCATTTATAAATTCGTGAACTGCATTTTAGTGTGTACGTGATGCGGAAGCAAGCACGTACGCAAGCTATTTCCCGAAATAACTTAAGTCAACGGCACACGATACCATTTTTCCTACTGGATTACTTACGTGAGCCAATCAGGATTTATCTTTAAGTCGCCTGACCTGAAACTCTGCATCCTTATTGGTTCTTGTAAACAATCCAGTGAGAAAAATTGTATCGCGTGCCGTTTAATTTATTACGTGCGAAATACGGTTTCTTTATGTTGTTCTTAAAAATAGGAGAGTGATTGAATATAATTGAAAGTGATTCTTGAAATCGAGAATAAGTTATATCCGGCATTGAAAAATACGTTGAATACGCCGTTAACAATACATCGATGCTACTAACGTTCTGTGAAACAATAAGTATTATGTAGGTTTAAACTTTGCCCTACGGACTTCCATCTCTCTCGCGCTATCTTTCCCGTCCCCCTCGCCCTACCTGTCTATCTATCTCCGCTATCTATCTTCTCCGTCCTATACAACTAACAATCATTTTCGCATACGCGGAAAGCGTACGTGCCATTTTGCAATGTACATTTTAAATATCCCTCTATTATCAGTATCTCGCATTGCACTCCGTTGACGCATGAATTATCGACTCTCGTCAGGTTTTACATAATAAACCGCTAACGTTGTCCCTCCGCCGATACCCTTTATCTTCCACGATAGACGACCTACTCCGCTGAAACCAACAATTGCTTCAGGACCATGCAAATGACCGCTAATAAATTCACCTTACGAAACACGCCGTCGCGGCGATTTGTCCTTTTAACGGCAATTGCGACGTACCATCCACTCGTTTAGAGTATTCGTGTCCGTATTGGTACACGCGTCTAGTCACACATGCTCCCAACATCGCGTTGCGTGCATCACACGCACGTTCCTATCGCCCATCAAGGGTTCGTAATGGCCCGACCGCAGTTTCACCTACTATTGCGACACGTATTTCCTTCGCGCTTTGCTTTTCCCGCGTATTGGCAGCCGTTCCAATTTTTTTCACACCGTCTCATTTGTTTGCTGCATACTTTGTGACAAAACAATATAAATGCATACATTGCTCATCTTCTTCTCGCTGTGTTCTTTACAGTCGCGATTCATTCATTCTTAGATGATTTGCATAATTTGACCGTTATACGTGATTATGCCTTAGCATTCCATTTCTTACTATGTCAATGATGACAGGTATAAAGTTGAAACATTATATATTATGTTATCATCGCTTATTGATCTTTGTACAAATTATATTTATTCCGTATGGACTAATGAATGACTCAAAGACATTAATTATCTCGCAAAACTTTTATACCAATTTTCTATTCTACCAAATATAAATATAAATAAAAATAAAACTGTATAATTCTCTTTCAGAATTTTATAAT